CCGAAGAGGCTTACGCGCCTTCGGCGCGTAAGGCTCTTAGGCAGTGGTGGGCAAACTTTTTTAATGGGGGGCCACAAAGTTTAAGAAATTCTAGAGAAGGGCCAGGATTATAGAAAAAATGCATTTTGTATTAAGGCTTTAAACCATTTAATATTATAAAAACTTTACAGCATTACACATAAATGTTACAAATTACCTTTTATCTTAAAAAATAATCAATTTAATTTTTATTCGAAGGCCCAACCATGGTAGGCGTGTGAGACATATGAAATTGTTTTTGATTTTCCACAATATTTTCAAAAGCAGGTTCCAGCTGTGACGAAGCAACTTTCAACAGAGAGAAAAGGTGTTCATCAGTCAATCGGTTTCTGATTGAGTTTTTCTGCAATTTCATGGTCGAAAAAGTCTGTTCGCACACATAAGACGACGCAAACATCGCCATCATTTTCTGGGCATGAGCAATTATCTTTGGGAATTCAGCTTTCGGCAGTGCTCTATAAAAATCTAGTTTTGTGGAATTCAAAAACAATTGCTTTAAATGGGTACTGCACTGCATTTCAATAATTTCCAATTGTAATTCTGCAGATACATTTTCCGGATCTACATTAAATGGCATCGAGAAAACATCTAGCGATGATTGAATGTTCTTAAAATCTTGAAATCTAGTTTGAAATTCTGTGTGAAGTTTTTTCAACGCCTGACTGTATTCTTTTATCTTGTTCTCTCTCACTGGTGACATGGATTTTAAACGTAGAAAGTGAGTTAAGTCGTTCTTCGCCATGCAGTTATGAAACAGAAAAAGCTGAGTTTTAAATGATTTCAAACAACCCCAAGTCTCATCTATAAATTGGTTCCTTCCTTGTAATTTTTTATTTAATTTGTTATAGTGTTCGAGCAAATCAGTAAAAAATGCAAAATCGGTACGCCAATCTTTGTCTTCGAAGATTTGGAAATCGGACCATTTGTCTGTTTTATTCTTTAAGAAATCTTGTATTTCCTCTTTTAAATTCCAAACCCGTTCAAATGCATATCCACAACTTAACCATCTTACTTTCGTGTGGTAAAGAAGGTCAGAATAATCTGCGTCGACTTCAACCAGAAATTCTTGGAATTGTCGGTGTACCAATCCCCGAGATCGAATCGTATTAATTAGTTTTGAAACCACATTAAGTACATGGGTAATATCTATTGCAGCTTTACAAAGGACGTCCTGGTGAATTATACAATGTAAAAATACAACATCGTGATTAGGATTCTGGTTCCGAAAAATACCTGAAAATCCCGCGTTTTTTCCGACCATATTTGGGGCGCCATCTGTAGTTATATTGCATAATTTTGAAATAGGCGCATTTAAATTTTGGAGACCTTCGGAAAATTCGTTATAAATTATTTGCCCCGTCGTTTTTCCTTTTAACGATTGCAAACAAGCTAGCTCTTCAGTAATATTAAATTCGTTATCAACGCCTCTAATGAAGATTAATAATTGAGCAGTGTCACTTCTATCCGTACTTTCGTCCATCGTCACGGAAAAATATTTAAAGTTTTCTATACTTTGCCTAAATTGAGTCGACAAGTTTGATGCAATGGCATCAATTCGCGTTGTTACTGTTTTTCGCGATAAACTGACAGACTCAAACTCTTTAATTTTTTCTGGGCATAAAATTTTACTCATACTCACCATACAATCTTTTACAAATTCTCCTTCCGAGTATGGTTTGTTATTTTTAGCTATTTTATAAGCCACAACATATCCAGCCAATGTAGAGGCCTTTTGAGCAGTATTTTGCTTTATAAACACATTCCGTTGAGTAGATATTGTTTTTTTTAGGTTTTCCGCATTAACCTTTTTTTCTGCATCATTCATCAAAGCATATTTAGTTTTTGAATGTTTGGTGTTGAAATGACGAGCAAGATTAAAATCTTTAAATACCGCCACTGCTTCATTACAAATAAGACATACTGGCTTACAGTTGTATTCCGTAAAAAAGTATTTCCAAGTCCACTCTTCTTTAAACAGACGACACTCAGAATCGACTTTTCGTTTTTTATACGCCATTATCCCAAAAGCACGGATTTTTTTTGAATCGATTATGAATATAAAACGTTATCCAAACAAAATTAACGCGTGGCTCGGTCTGTGACAACTGACGAGTGACGACTGAGTTCACTAAACGTACTTTACGTACTATAACACTAGGAATAACGATTAGGTATGAAGACAGTGCAAAGACTGATATCATTGCACAATAACATTATATCAATTTACTTATATACATAAGTACATCATTCATATTATTATACGAAAACTACGATAAGGACGCACACCAAACCGATATCCGGGAAATATATTAATATGAACAAAAATAGAAATTATAAACCTTTTATCATAATACCTACTATCTACCTACACCACACTGTGAGGGTACAACCACGCACAGTCCACACCAATCCATTAAAATATTTAGAACTATTTTCTTCGATCAATTTCAGAATATTTCGGGAATTTTTTATGTTAGACTTGTATACTATACAGGCTACTATACAGGCCATATCTATGTCGACGGAACCTCGGCGGGCCGGATTAAATAGTTTCACGGGCCGGAGTTGGCCCGCGGGCCGTACTTTGCCCATCACTG